CAAGTCAATTATCTAATGCTAAAAATTATGATAACTACTATGAAAGAGTACTTCGGACTAGGTGCTTTCTACGAAGTCTCCCGGACAACAAGACCAATTTGCAGCAACGAGGTCAATCCACTTCTATAAATCGAAAGGAGACTACACCATCTTGGTCCTCATATCTTCGACCATGATTTAGTTTTCCAGACCACAAGTCAATTAAATGTGATAAGCATTCATCCTATTTCGTTCAAGATGATAAATGGGACTGGTAGTGGAATTTGTCGGCAATGATATGAGTAGACCTTGCATTTCCATTGCTTTACACAGAGCTTTGCTTTTCCAAAAGTTATTCTTATCCAGAAAGGCATGACAAGTAATTTCAAACTCTCCTGTATTGGTCTCATCAACACTCCAATAGTGAATTGAATCCGACTTTCTGTGGTACAGCTAATAATCTAAAAACGTTAACCATCACGCTTCATCGCCACAAATGCCTTTGGGTTGCAGGGCAGATGTGAATTTCAAGGAACGCCAGACATTTTCCGATATCGCATTCTGTGCTGGGATTGTCGAAATTCTTTTTGTTATAGCATTACTCATTATTCGTTCGAGGTGAATGCAACTCATATATATGACCCTAATTTAAACCATCACTTTGCTTACCCCGTGACAAATACACGCCTGGTTAAATTGATAAGCTTTTTATGTGAATTCAGATGTATATAACCAAGTGACTAAATACTCTCACTATCCTTAAATCCAGCGATCAAGCATAAGCACTCATTCGAAGGCATGAAGACCAAGATGGTGTGGCCTTTGGTAGGGTCGTTATTCCCTTTCGTTGTATTGAAGTTGCTTGACCTTGTTTTCGCAACTTGTTCATATCAGCAGGAAGACCTCGAGAAACACACGTTGTCCGGAGTCCATAGTATGCATGCTAATTTCCAGAGCCAGACCGTGGATTTGGTACAGTCTCAGACGTTTCGCCGGCATCGTCAGTCAGCCTTGCCATTCTTAGCACCGCAATCAACTTGTGAAAACAACGTCAAACAACTTATATACATAGTTATTGTCTAACTTATCTGATATTCAATGTGTTTCCTACTCTTGTTGTGGAGACTTACATTTCGTATGCAAGTGTGTAATGATGAGGCTCGTTGGGTGATCTTAATCGAAAATGATGACCAAGCCCGATTGTTCTGCAGTGATTTCGCCTTAATACATAATTCATGCTGACACAATCTCTGAGATATCCTTCATCCCTACGGGTGAAATCGGGTCTTGGAAGAATAGTCTCAAGTTAATGCTAAGTTAAGAAGACTTTACGGCTCTATCATAATAATTAGATACACTCGAAAGAGGGAAAAATATAGATACAGATATATAACATGTAGGGTAAAGCGTTAACTTGAGTCCTTTACAAGAATGAGTTGCAGCTATGAGAATGTCCGTCATGTGAAGGTTGAAGAATTAGTCCGGTCTCACCCGAAATGATGGAGGATGCCTCGTGGGCTCAGTCAACCTGAATGTCGTATTCGAACCAAATGACCTCCGAGCAACGGGAATCGACCACAGTACACACAACAATATAACAATCAACAAGGGTAAATTCGAGATAGTTTGATCTGCAAAGTGTTCTACTTCCTCAGAACATCGAATCCAACAAAAATTATGTCCAGCTTTCTTTTGGAAAATGGGGCCGTAGATCTCTCCAATAAATGGGGGAGCACATTACGCAATATTATAAAAGCAGCCTGATCCGAAAAATAGGTCAAATTTCCCTCTAAAAGTAAGCATAACTAAACAAAACGGCTGTTTCATTGAAAATTTTTTGTATTCGCCACTTGCTTACCAGCAAAAACAACTTTTAAGATGAAGGTTGATGATGAATTGAGACAAGAAAGACAAATAAAACGTAACTTAGGACGCTTAGACCGGAAAAGAAGTTGACCTTGAGAATTGCGTAAACCAGAGCATCTCATTAAGGCCAAACGACAGCTCACCAAGAGGAATTAGCCGCCATCTTCTGGTATAAAATGAACCTCAAATCTGTACATCACACATTCACTCGAAATAGAAGTGAGTCCAACAATAGTAAGTATTTTTTTGCAGATAGTATCTGCCGCATTGTACCCCATCCTAGTTAATGTAAGTGCATGCAATCGAAAGACACGAACAGCAAATTTGGCTATGCCCTACCATTGCGTCGCGACATAAGGGTCAGGAGGCCAGAAAGACAAGCCTCAGCAACATGGGGCACAGCACTAGCCACTCGGCCAATCGCTTGAATTGTCGCGGCTACGAACTCGATGTCCGGGCTCGAAATGTAAGTCTGCAAAAGTCGAATATATGGAAAAATAAATAGAACAATTAGCAAGCTAGAACTAGTAGAAATAAATGGGATTCAATGCATGCGAGGAAATCACGAGGTAAAGCTGAAGAATGAAGGACTAGAATCAGCCTCGGAGAATGTTCAAGAAGTATTAGGCCATCAAAAATAATAATAAGATTTTGGTCGCAGTATAGATGTAGTGAACAAACCTTATCCAGAGTCCTTTGACATATTAATCATGTAATTTCCAGCATCGGTCCGCAGACTTGGAACATTCTCGGTCTTTGCACCAAACTAAAACTTGAACAACCTGCTTCGGCTCTGGGATATCCATCTATGGGCCATCGTGATATCTCCCACTTCACGATCACAACTTCTAACTGCCTTATTTTCACCCACTTCTAAGATGTGACCATTTAAGCGGATTTAGTAAAGACTATCCACACCCACGCTGATTTGCTTACCTCCTCTTGCTGATGTGCTAAAATAATTTGATAAAACTTGAATCCTTCAGTTTGCATCCACGTCCTAATCTTATGCTTCGGAAGATCCGTTTCTTATCAGTCCTTTTCAGTGATTTCCTTCGGCCACCGCCACCAGCGTGATTTCCCATGATCTGCCTAAACCATTTAATACTACATAATTTAGCCTCGTCGATGAGTCCTGCAAGTCATGGGCTCGCAAGGCGGATGAAGGACTAATCTAAAAGTGTTAAGTAGATTTTCATTCCGTATGAAAGCGCATGATGAATAGATTCAAAGGTCGATCTCACCAGAAAATGATGGGTGATTCCCGTTGTGCTGCAGCTTTGATACAACCTTCAGGCGAAAACGAGTTAACCTTTCGAACATCATAAGAGCTGGAACGAATTCTTGCAAAATGCTCAAGGTCAAGAAGATTGTTCAGCACTATCTTGAGTCTGATATATACTCATTACTCAGGGCGAAAATATATAGACATAGATAGATATAGAATAATTTGACTAA